TGCATCATGCGGCTCAGAATGGTCACCTGGAAGTGGTGCACTTGTTGTTGCAGGCTGGAGCGACATGTGATCATGCAACAGTCAGTGGCTGGACTTCTTTGCACTCGGCTGCTTTTAGCGGTCACCTGAAAGTCATCCGATTGTTGGTGGCCTTTGGCGCTGCCCGCGACGCCACAACTCATGACGGCACCACTCCTGCGGAGCTTGCAGCACAGAATCGCCATCAGGAGGTGTCGGACTTTTTGAATCATTGGCTGAGAGGCTTAAGATAGAACATGTGAATTAAACAAGAAGCTACGAACGGAGCATGTCGGGCATCGCTACGAGTCCGGAGCGATCGGACGCTATGAAGGGGGCTCCTGGCATCGCTACGGACGTAACAAGAAGCTACGGACGTAATTTCTTGGTCCCGACGGAGCTCCCGAGCTCAGAAATTCGGTGCTTGGAGAAAACCAGTGATCGCGTCTCCCAGCGGACAGAGAGACTGTTTTCACTCCATGCGCAACAACAAGAGTGCACAGAGTAGTAACCAGATATGGGAAGAATCCAGCCACCAAATTCTCACGGTCAATGCAAGAATCTATTGCATTTTGGTTTTGTGTGTTGATGATGGACCAGGTTCTGTACTCGCAGAGTTTATTCGAAGATATATAATATACCCCATCCACAACCAATAAATTAAAACTGATCAGTAACCCGGACCCGAAGATGAGGACCCCATTGGAATGAGTGTTTCTATCTTAAAGAAGTCCAGGGCTAGTGAAATTGGAAACTCCTGTTTTGCACGCCAATCCCAATTGAATTGATGAATAGTCGACACTTGCACTGGTCCTGCCGTATGAAGTATACCTGCTAGATGATGTATACTACTAACCAGCGACAACTCCTAATCCGGATACACAAAGTCCTAACTCACCCGACCTTACCTATAGATGTTTCTTTTGCATGTTATATATGCCTCGCATCGCCTTCAGCCAAGTCCCCAGAGTCCGTTGGCGCCCGAAAACCACCGTCCACCGAAACACGCGGAGCGGTGTTGGTGTTCCACGCGGGCCTTCGGTCCGGTGTGGGTGTGGGCCGACCGCGCGATGGGCAGATTCGCTCCATCCATTACACGGGGCCCTTGAAGTGCGGAACCTCAGGCGCCGTAGTCGACGCGGCGACCGACGGTCTTCGTCGCTCACCTTCGATCCGGGGGCCGGATCCAGCCGCTAAGGGAGGCCGGACTGGGACTGGGTTGAAGCTCCTTTTCCTCAGTCCGTCTGACCCAACAAAAACTGAGAACGGTGTTTGTAGTGTACACTCCTTCGTTGCTTCGGGTTCGGTCGTCAGCCCATGAAATTCCGGGCCAGGAAGCCTATGAACGTGATGGAATTCAGCCTATGAGTCTTCTGATCCCATTTTTGATGGGTTTTTGTTGATTTCTGGGCTCCGTGCGATCCGCGCCATGTTGCTTGGATGGTTGGGAGTTGCGGCTGACACACAGAGTCTTACCGGACCCCCTGGAGAGGGACAGACGACAACCGAGGCCCGGCCCTGGGAGTAGCCGGTGGCCGCTCGCCACCCATGGTGGTTTTGATGGTGTATCATGGGTTTTCACTGCCAGGCCTCATATTTTTGCAGCTTGAGCAGCTCGAAAAGAAACCAGGTCGAACATCGTTTCATGTGGCCTTCATGGCAGGCGATCGGGCCGGCATCGCGTGGACGTTCAGAGGCCTTGCTTCACGTTCGCCTCCGACTTCGCGGCGGAGGAGTGGGAACAGTCCGGACGCTTACGCCGCGCCGCGCCGGAGCGGGGCGCGAGGGTTAGGTTTGTCAGCGCGACAGGCGAAGGCGGCATCGGACCAAAGAGAGATTGATTGGTCGTTTCGTTTCGTTTTGGCTGCCGGGTGTTGTGAAAAGTATATATTGGTCAGTGAGTCAACTTAAACAATATGGCATCCCTTGATCCCCCTGCAGACCAATTCACAGAGCATCCAATCCCCAGGCCTATGCGCATTTGGCACCGCGCAAATGGAGAGGCGGGTGGCGAAGGTAGAAGGGCGGCGTGGAGAAGACGATGCCGGGAGACTGGATTGCAAAAGATCGGATTTGGCTCGGACCATAGGATGTTTGGGCTCCAATGTTTAGGTTCCCCTAGACTTCCAAGACCATTTAAAAAGTGGTTGAACTGGCTTTTGTAGTGTAACATCCTTAGTTGGTTCGGTAAAGCCTATGAATTTAATAGTCTTTGGACTTCTAGGGGTTCAGCTTTCTTAATGTTCCAACCTGTTCCAACAGGGTGAATAGGAAAAGCTTACACTAAGGGACAAAGATTGATGAAGTCCCAAGTCTTGGGAGCACTTCTGATACACACCCCATGTACATCCATGTACGAGTTTGCTCGTTGCTGCCAGAGGATTGCCGTGAATCCAAGCTTGGGGAATGCGAATGAGCACAAACTCATGTCGATGTGGGGAGAGTTTGGACATCTCTCTCTGCATGTTTCTTCAAACCGCATCCTATATTTCATAAGCCAGGATACTCGTCAGCAGTGAAGAACAAGGACGAACACGTGTGCGTTTGGTGTTGGGCAGCAAAGAAGCATCTTCCAAAAAATAACCCGGCCAATCGGCTCCTTCTTTGGCTCTTTAAACCGACCGCTTGCTGACCGCCCGCCCGAACACACCGGGTCGAACGACGGTCGCCTCGCGGGTTCCCGATGGAGCGTGGTTCGATCCGTCTCCGGCGGCCGATCCATCGCGGAAGCGTGTCGAAGCCAGCTAGGCTCAGATTCCGATGTTGCTAAGCAAAAGAAGATCCCCATCAAGTCATTTAGATCAGACCTTTCATTGGCTGAATGCCCACAAAGTCCTGTTCCTTTCTCCTTTGGCCTGCCGGAATCTCTTGTTTGCTGAATCCACCATGCGCTTCCCATGCTTGGCCCTTTCCCTGGCGGTGACCACGCTGGCCGTGCGAAACACTTCGGGTCGAGGCGCCCGCGGAAGGGACTCGGGACGGGTGTGTCTCCACCCGTGAGTGTCGGGTAGATGTGGGTGGAGATCGACTTAGACCCTGTTCAGATGTTTTCAGACCGGAGTCCTGACCGTTTTTGGTGGACTTTCTTCGGTGAGCTAGCTAGCTAACTAGCTATAAGTCCTGACAAAAGTACGCATAAATCCAAGAACTGCAGATGCAACCGCAGATGACCAAGAACCGTGGGACAGAGGTCCCTTTTAATTTTTTCTTTTGTGATGAATTTTGTGATGGACGGCGATGTTTTCCACACGGCCGTATTTCGTGGCACACAGCAGAGTGTGAGTCGATCCATGCTGGGATCGGTTTGCGTGGACCAGCAGGACTAAGGTCTGCTGCTGATTTGACAGACGTTGATCACGGGAGTTACTGGTCGAAGATGGAGAATGCTGCCAGAGCAGAGTAGATTCACCATCAGCTTTCTTTGGTTCTTTGGAGTTCGAGCAAGAGAAGTTCAGCACTCCTGTTGGGCTTCCGCAATGAAAGACCGTCTAAAAAATGGTCGACCTGCATGGCTTTGTAGTGTAAAATCATGTAAAATCTATAAGTAAAACAATGTTTTTTTTGGTCAAGACCGAGTCAAGACCATTTGACTATAAGATCTATAGAATATTTTGGTTGTTGGCATTTGACCTTGTTGGCGTCCCAGACGGGCGAGCTCACCGAATGAGCGACACGCGCCTGAGGCACCTCCGTCCTGGCTTCCGGGGCCGATGGGGACCACGATTGTCCCTGCAACGGCCGCTCGGATGGAGGTGACCGGTTCTGGAGGTCAAAATCTGATGACCGGTTCACCCTGGTAGGAGGAATTCTTGAGTGGTCTGACTGGTTTGATTTCTTTTTTGTCTCAGCTCTCAGCACCCCTTTTTTGGGGGAAACCAGTAACTCAGGCCGGAGGTAAGGGTTCTGAGCGCTTGGTTCTCACACAGCCGAATTCGTCTCAGTTCATGAACAGCTGGCTCTTCTGCGTCCTTACTCTCTCAGGATCCGCCGTCTTCGCTCGATCCTCGCCCTCGCCTCACCCGGCTCCTCTTCGCTCCACCCGATGGGTTCGTCTGTCTCGTCGCCGTCTCGGTCCCAGGCTTACCACTCGAATCACAGCTGGCACGGATGGAGCCTCGGCCGGGTCCGCAAGAGATGGATGGATGCGAGGGCACCAAAAGCAGTGGAAGTTGAGTCCAGGATCTTTCTTTGGCACCTGGCAAAGATGGTGATTTTTTGTAGCCGTGGCCTTCAAAGACACCATGAAACATGTGTTTGGTCGACCTGACTTTGGGGGTTCACGAACCCTCTGGAAGTGGTCGGGTCCAATGATGCTTAAGGGTTAAAACAATGGCTTCTTGGAGCCATCAAGCGATACCTTTCGATGTGCAATGTCAGTGACACATGTCTCTTTATTTTTATTTTTTGTGATATACCATATTCTGTTGCGGATATGTTACGACGATCTTGGTGTTATATCTGTGTTATCCATTGGTATCGCGTGCATGGGTATGTCATGGTATGTCCGTAGTCACTGGTTTCTACGACGAGCCCCTCAAATGATGTTCGACCTGCCGTTGGTGCGTTGGTTGGGAGCCAGTCGACTGGCTGAAGAGGCTTGCGGACTGGCTGAAGATGAGGACCTGCTGAAAAACATCCCACATCATGAAACTCAATGATTTTTGTCTGTTTTTGTTTCCTGATATTTTTGTTTCATCATGTTTAAAGGCAATCAATTAAGTATAGACCTATATGGTTGCTCCACCGTTCCTGCTTTTTCGGGTTGGCAACCGGTCTCCGTCTCCGTCTGGTCTCCGTCGCCCGAGGTGGCGATCTCCTATGATGAAAAAGGTGTTCGGTCGTTGGAGAGCTACGCCAAGGAGATCTTCTCGTGTCCTCCGGAAAAACAGAAAACATGGAAGGCTTCCACCAAAGGTCACATGGAGTGGGGGTGGGTTTTGAGTCCCATCCAGTGAGTGGATGTATTGAAAAACCCCTATCCTCCAAGTTCGGCACCCCATCTTGTGACTCCTGGCAAGCCAACTTGATTGGAACAGCTGTTCAGCTTTGGAACAGCAGTTCGTTTGGGCCTGGTTCCCGCCTTAGTTCCCTCCGGTCGGTGGCTGACGGGGGCGCCGGAAGGACGACGATTTGGCTGGTCGCACACCGGCGGTGGCCCACTTCTAAGGGCAGTTGGAGACAATACCACAAATCAGGTGAAATCCCTCAGTAGACTGAGGGGATCGATCTGGGCAAGTTGATTTGCAAGGCTTCAGCTGTCAGCCTTGTGGCGGAATGGGCTATGCCTTCCGAAGCCCTAGGTCCTATGGCATGCGAGGGTCTTCAAATCGATTCGATTTTTCCAGTGCTTCCTTCAGAAGGATGAGCCATGTTTGGATGCTCAATGATTGGAGGATGTGCTGTAAGCCGCTTTAAGACAAGTATTGGGTCTAATAGACAAGTCGACTCACGAACTCTACTGTTTTTGTTGTGACTTTCTGGAGTGTAACCACACATCCCTAAAATGGAAGACCACATTCCTCCAGATGGCCACGGGCCTAAACACATGCCTTTGCCATCTTTCATTGTTTGATGACCTTCAGTGTACCTGATCTCTTTTCCTCTCTTGATCGAGGCTATAGCTGGACCGTGCCTGGGCGTCCGGTTTCCGGCGGGCGGTTCCGACGTTCGACCGGGAGAAGTGGCGAAGGATCAGCAGACATGGGCCGGCTTTGTTTTGGCAAGAGCATGTGTTGATGTATCATATTCTACAGTTACGAGATTTGTTCTTTAGAGATATAAACCTTCACATCATTATATAACTACAATCTATTTGGATAGAGCTCCTCATCCTGAGGGAGACCAGACTTTGATTGCGAGGGGACTATGACCCCCAACAGTCACAAGCTGCAGAGGGTCTTAAATGTGCTTACCTGGAGCCCCTTCTTAGAAAGATCACGAAAGCTAGCCTTAGCTAGCTGAAGTTGCTCTTGCTTTAGCAAGTTAAATGATGGGGTGGACGCGCCTCAGAAACCTCAAATAATTGATTAAATCAATCTTATGGACCCCCCCCTGCTGCTGCTGCTGCTGGGGTTGCTGCTGTGCTGCTGCTGCTGCTGCTGCTGGATTTGCTCCTTCTGCTGCTGGGTGGTCTGCTGCCGCCTTGGCTGCGCCTCCCCCCCCGGGTTCATTCCCTCCGGCTATGCACTGTGGGAACACTTGGACTCCACGTGCGCTGTAAAGCAGTTTTGTCAACCTTTGAGTGCCGATAGTCCGAGTGCACAAGAGCCAAATGACGCTACCTGACTCCACACATGGGAACTAGTGGTGTACGAGGGGTAAGGCTATGATGCAAGAAATGCCGCCTGCACTTTTTCGTACCAATTTTGGCCCAGCATTTCCAACATTATGGCCTCACGTGCTCGCCGCATTGCACACCCGAACTGGATGTTGCTTGGTGCAGGCTGCTTGGTGGTCTGCTGCAGTTGCTTGCTGGTCTGCTGCTGCTTGGTTGTTGCCTGGTGGTTTGCTGCTGCTTGGTGGTCTGCTGATGCTGCTGCTGGCTGGTCTGCTGCTGCTGCTGCTGCTGGGTGGTATGCTGCTGCTGGGTGGTGGTGTGGTGCAGCTGCTTGGTGTTCTGCTCCAGCTGCTGCGTGGTCTGCTGCTGCTGCTGCTGTTGCTGCTCCTGCTGCTGCTGCTGCTGGGTGGTCTCCTGTTGCTTGGTGCAGGCTGCTTGGTGGTCTGCTGCAGTTGCTTGCTGGTTCGTTGCTGCTTGGTGCTCTGTTGTTGCCTGGTGGTTTGCTGCTGCTTGGTGGTCTGCTGCTGCTTGGTGGTCTGCTGCTGCTGCTGCTGGGTGGTCAGCTGCTGCTGCTGCTGCTGCTGGTGCTGCTTCTGCTGCTTGGTGGTTTGCTGCTGCTCCTTTGTGGTTTTCTGCAGCTGCTTGGTGGTAGACTGCAGATGCTTGGTGGTTTGCTGCAGCTGCTTGGTGGTTTGTTGCTGCTGCGGCTGCTTGGTGGTCCGTTGC